ACTATACCCGACTCCACTTGCTGGTTTAACATCTTTCCTGGTGGAAAGCCATTGTAACACAATGTATTTCTGACAGAATATAGGGAAAATGAGTCCCAAATATTTGTATTATTATCAGAAAGAGCCCCCTTTAAATTACAAACAGTTTCTAATCATAATATGTAAACATTATTATACATGGAGAAAATGCATGAATATGTAAAGATTTGCTAGACCTGAAACAGACTTGCAAGTTGTTTAGCATATGATGCCTCTCGCCCTAAAGTGGCTGGGATAGCCTCCAGGCCTCCTGTGACCCTGAACTGAACAGGTAGTTAATAAAATGAATGGATTAATGGAAATTACACTGCTGCCAGATATTCCTCTATAATACTTCATCCAACCAATGCATTTGCATGTGAATACTATGCATTGTAAAAATACAAGATATTTATGGTATCCAGTATGTAGCATCCATTGTCCTTGAAAATATGCAGGTTTATTCTGCAAGGTACTAATCAAGCCTATAATCTCAAAGAAAAAACAAACAAACAAAAAAACTGTGCTGTACTACCCTAGTCCAGAAAGATCTAAGAGTAGTCACCATTTAGCATTTGTAGTAAAAATGTGTGATGTGTGGAATATGAAGAGATCGGTGGTACTGAGAGTCGGCATGTTTTTGAAGCGCTCAGGATGTATTATGCAGTGCAAGGCCGACAAATAACAGATCAGAAATGAAAGAAATGTCTCCCCACACTGGAAGAAATCAGTAGTGCAGGCATGTTTTTTTTTAACTCACAGAATAACTGGGTTAAAGACACAAAGTGCTCTTCTACCTTAGACACACCTGAACACAAGCGCTTTGAGTGCTCAGTTGTAGCAGAGCACTATATAAGTACAGTTTTACACTACAATGTGCACCATAACACACATTCAGCTTTGTACTGCACAGTCAAGTGGCAAAACAGAGATGTGATGGTCTTGTAGGTGTGTTGTTCAGATACACTTGGCCTCCATATCGTAGAGCTGAAGAAGGTCTGCGATCACAGCATCGATATCTGCTTTCATCACGTCGTCACACAGCACCTACACACATACACACACACACACAGACCTCAATAAACAGCAGACATCAAAAGGTCGACACACCATTTTTAAAAAACATGTTTTTTTGTCCTCTTGCCTTGAGGACCAAAGCAGAAAGACAGAAAAAAACTGGGTTTGCTCCATTTCCATTTGAATACTGCAACTTAGAAAAAAAATCTAATCTGGTCAGGTTAGTGTTACTTTGGTTTAAGTGCACAGTGGCACAAACAGTATGTTTGACACTAACCATGATAAAACTAAAATCATGGAGTGCCTATGCAAGATCTGTACTGTTTCTCCACCTCACAGTGCCGTTATAGACAAATCTAAATGCAGCTCACACACTTAAGCCAGGAGCTCACGTTCCACATCCTGCAGGCTCCTTCAAAGAATAATTCCAATTTGTGTCAACCAGCTTTTCATTGACATAGCTACTGTCTCCTGCAGACACTTGAGGAAATGAGGACATGCTGAACAGAGAGTTATCCACAGGTAAACAAGTCTCTCTCATGTGGACCAATATACAACAGGAGTTTCAAACAAAGGGTTTCATTCAGCAAACTGAGCCTTTGAAAACTATGAAAATTATAGTGAAGTCATTAATTTTTAAACAAAAGGTACTTGTATTCTTGTTCTTCTGGTGTCTGCATAACTATGCTAGAGTGAAACGTATGGAAAGTGAAAATTCAAGAAAATATCCCGATATTAACAAGTTGTTTGAATAATAAAGTTGGATATTATTATTGTTGTTGTTTATCATTTAGTTTAAAAAAAAAACAAAAAAACAACTCAGCATGCAAAGGTTTTGTGCTTCTTGGTAAACACTTGCCAAGAATGCAGGCAGACCGCATGTTATAAAACGGCCAAACCTCTCACATGTCTGGAAATGCAACCTGGGCCAGTCAGACAATGAAATCTGCTGGCTGACAGGCCCAGAAAGGCTTTTCCATCTTTAACTTGTGTAGCATGCTGTAAGATCGATCCACGAGTTTCTTATAAACATATAAAGTAGAGTTTAGTCAGAAGTTTAGACATTTATGAATGTGCTATACATAAGTATTTATCCATTTGTGTCATTATAAATCACAAAAGTTCAAAAGGTTTTAATTTTTCAAGTTAAAAAATGATAGAATATAGACAAAAATACATGTAATAAATGAACTGTGAATTGTGGCGTATTAATTCAGAATTTGGAAATGTTCTCAGGCATTCCATACCACTCAATAAAAGAAGAAAATTATCTCTGATATAGAGGAGTAGGACATCATGTAACTTTGTCTGGGGCTTGTGGTTTCAATGTAAAAAAAAAAAAAAAAAAAAGTGGCTGATGTGAGGTTTTCTTCTCCAGTCAAGCTCAAACTGTTCTGGATGTGAAAGAGTGCTGTGGCGCAACATCAGCATACAACCCTGACCACCTGGATGAGGCAGTAAACACCACTTTGGTACTGCAGATTATTCCTTAATTTTTGAAGCTACAGCAGCTCTATAAAAGATCTATTTACTTTTCGACTGCTATCAACTTCAGCACATAAACTAACGCTTCAATTAACTGAACACAGATGCTTTAACTGACATTTTAAATGCAGTGTCGGTGTGGCTGAAGCTCAGGAGGCAGAGAAGGTCATTTGCTAATCGGAAGGTTAGCGGTTTGATCCCTGGCTGCTCCAGTCTGCATGCCAAATATCCTTGGGCAAGATACTAACCCCTAAGTTACTCTCTGATGTATCCATCAGAGTCTGAATGTGTGTGAATGTTAGATATAAAGCACTTACATAGAAAAAGCATAGATAAAAGTGCTTGTGTGGATGGGTGAATGTTATGTTGTGTAAAGCACTTTGAGTGCTCAGGTCGATTAGAAAAGAGCTCTATAAGAACCCGGTCCATTTACCATTTACCAGTTGGTGGTTTCACACAGTTACCATTACTGGCTGCATATGAGCTCATCAGTCAGCTGCTTTCAAATAACACATCAAGAGTGAAGAGTAGGCTTTAACTAAAGACACATGGCAGATGCTGCCTCTCTCTAAGCCTGGTTCTACTGGAGGTTTCTTCCTCTTAAAAGGGAGTTTTTCCTTTCCACTTTTCTCTGTATTATTGTAGGGTCTTTACCTTAGAGTACAGCTGTTGTTGTGATCTGGCACTATGTGAATAAAATGGAATTGAACTGATATCTATAACTATGGTCATTGTAAACATACAGACTGTCACTTCAAGTATTTTCAGCCATGATATTTCACTTGCTTTCATTGCCATTCTTCAGCTACTCATCCTTATTCATAGAGTTAAATGTTTCTTGTTGCTGCTAACATGTTGACACTGGACACTTAACGGCTGTCACTTCCTACACACAAACGAGTACCAGAGGTTTGCACACTAAAATACTTTAAGTATCTTTAGTGCTTAGAAGTTAACTGAAACTTTAATCACACTTACAGTTTACATTCTTCCCTGAGATTTCAGTTGCTTTCACTGGAACACTTTGACTGATATCCCACTTGCTTCCATCTCTTACTCTTTGACATTTGCTGTCACATATCTGCCATTTCAGTTGCTTTCATTGGTGACACATCAGTTGATAAATCGCACCAACCAAATGGGACTAAAACCTTTTTCAAAATCTGACACTGCAACTGGTATACCAACTTGTGTTGTTTTGACGAACTGTGACCTTGGACGTAATGCTGAGCTTGTCATTGGATGTAATTTGTTAGCTTTTTTTCTAATTTTTAATTAATTTTCTCTATTATTAAATTTATATTAGATTCAATCTGCCTCCCTGTAGTTTCATGTTGGCATCCAGGCATAAAACTGACACTCGTGATACACAGTGTAAATGCCTGTGCCTCTGCCCTCACTAAAATTAAAGTGCCATGTGAGCAGCTACTCTGATCCGACATCATCATCTCAAAATGAGGGAAAAACAGAAGGAAAGTGAAGGAGGGTTTCTGTTCTGTTTAAACTGGAGCTTAATGGAAAAGTAGAGATGTCAGTTCATCATCATCAAAATTTCCTGTGTTGATTTCAGAGCTAAATGAAGGAGGAAATAACTTTCATCTTCTGGGTTTATCAGCTAACACCTGCTAGCCTCTAACTTCCTATAAGATGATGTCACATTTTCCTCTTGAAGTAATAAATCCACCTACAGTGCACAGATTCTTTCTCTCACTTGAGCACGGACACACGCACTTTGGATTAGCCCTCTCTCTCCAGAGAGAATAGGAACACTATTCAGCACGTACCTGCCACCACTCTCTCTCCCCAGCAGGCAGTTCCACTCCATAGCTGTTTAGAGCCAGGTACAGCATTGCTATGGCGATGTGTTGGGGTCTGTGGCGGATGACCATGGCTCCATGGTAACAGTCTCTAAGCAGCGCCCAGGAAGTTTCAGCTACAGGAGTTCGAGACCAAGCATGGCGGTTCACAAGTGACTTGACAGACAGCAGGTAGTGGAGCAAATACTGAAGATGAAAGACAGCAGACAAATTTAAACTTCAGAGATCAGGCACTACTACACTTACTATTTTATTAAATGCAAGGGTCATGTAAGTAAAACTAAAAGCATTCAAGCCAACAGAAAACACTTGTTTGTCCCAGAGATCACAGAGATCGTAAACACAAGCACATTTGCATCAGAAAATCAGGCAGTAACACAGACCAAAAAAGAGGTTTAGCACCAAATAAGGAGGGAACAGGGATCCGTGCACGTGCCCTCACAACTACCTTGTGGGGGTGTTCGAAGGAGACTTGGAAGTTGAGCTGTCGGAGGATGAGGAGCTCACACTGCACCACGCTGTCCCTCAGGTCCCAGAACTCCTTGTCACATTCTAAAGGAGTACTGCCACTGTTGAAATACCTGAAAGGGTGGAGGAGGGGGAGGAGAGCATTTAAGGTGACAGCTCCAAAAACTGAATGGTTAAACTGCCTGGTAAAGAATTTGTTATTTAATGTATCCACTTCCATAAAAGTGTGATGTGAAATGTAAAATAAAACAGGATTCAAAGTTGCCTGCTCATCCAGCTGAGCTAAACTGGTGCCCGCCAACATGTTTTTAAAGCACTGGGACAAGAGCCTGGAAGGGTTGTGCATTTTTTTTTTTTTTTTTTTTTTAAAGGATGTCCATTTATAGCATGCTTATGTACTTTAGTTTAAGAGCAATATGTGCTGTGTGTGTAGATGATATTTCCTCAGAAAAATTAGTGCCAAACTACATAATACATATGTTCCATGTGCAGAGTGGAGTTCGGATTTTTTTAAGGCACAGGGAAAATTTCAGTGAATGCAAATATTGAAACAATCAAAAGCTTCAGAATAAGCCAGTAGGTGGAGGAGTGGGACTGGCAACTTTTAACTTGGCTTAATTTTTTAACAGAAATACTTTTATTATTATTCATGTTGATTTTTTTTTCACTTTTTAATATGTCTACTCTTAAGTTAATGTGTTTTCTCCATGCATTTTCTCACACATGAGTGGGTTGGAGCCTGTCCAAAGATACTTTAAGAAAATCAGGGTACCAAGTGCAGATCCCGGAAAATTAACATGCTTTTGGACTTTGTTTTATGTCTTATTTAAATGTATGTTTATGACTGGAGACTGAGTATATTCTGGTTTTGCACTTGTTGATGGGACAGAGTCTTATCTAAAAATATTACCTTGGGCTTTACAAGCCTTCCTGGTCAAGGCTATTTTGTTTTTACTCTTGTGATGTTTTTCAGACCAAACCATTTATTCAAGAAAAGCAGACTACTCATTAAAAATTATTTATTAAATGTTTGGGGCTTTTTAATGTCCCTCTCATAACAAAAAGAGTTCAGAAAGACAAAACACAACCTTTTTGTTCTCAAGCAAAGTCAAATATCTAAGAGGCTCAGTTAGCAAGAAATTGTTTTTCTCTCAGCAGTGAGGTTAAAATGTCAATTATACACTCCACCTTATAAATTATTACCTGTGGCTTACATTGATGATATCACGGGTCCTGATGTGCTGCTCCTCCACTTTACCAGCCAGGTACACACAGCTCATGGCCACTAGGTAGGGTTCATAGGCATGGATACTGACCCTCTCAAAGAAACGATGATAGAGCACACATGCTGTAGCCATGGGCACCGAGCGCATGCAGAGTTTCACTCCTGAATAACAGAGGAGGGGGTACGATGTAGGTCTTTAAGGGCACACTAATGTTTTATCATCTTTAGCTGACTGATTCACACCTATTTTCACCCGCTGTAATCCTGAAATGCAGTTTAAGTTCACATTACTATTCGTTTGAAATCCCATTAAATCAACAAATCAAAAACCAGGAAAGAATACATAATACTGGACACATGTTTCAAAAACCTTAAACCTTGACTTTCTTAAAGAGAACCTGCTCATTTCCAACTCAATATTTTTTTTCTTGAATTCTCGTAAAGAAGCTCTATATGATTTAAAATTTCAAATAGTCCTTATTTAGATTTTACTAGGTCTCAGCACAGCGTTCATACGCTGTGTGAAACAGACTGTCTTCCCCCTTTAAGCTTCAGAGCAATGGGAGATGACTATTATAGGGAACTCCGATATCTCTCACTGTCATCAGACAGGGTGCAGAGCAAAATTTTTTTGGCTCATTCTTTGATACTATGGTGATGTTCAATATGAACATC